AATTACCTGATTTTTATTACAATTTCATGTTAAACCCATATCCAGGTTGGATGGGTCTTTGAGCAGCCTGGTCTAGTGGAAGGTGTCCCTGCCCATGGCAGGGGGGTGGGACTAGATGATCATTAAGGTCCCTTCCAACCCAAACCATTCTGTGATTCTGTGATTCTAAGATTTACATGTTGGACTCCTGTATAAATAAACACTGGACTAACCAGAAATGCTGTAAAAGAAAGCTTGTTGACCACATACCAGCCCCATGGCTAAAAATCTCTGCCTCCCCTGAGGAAATTTCATAACCTCTGCATTTGTGTGTGAGCTTTCAGGGCTTGCACCATTCACTCATTGGTTTCCCATGCAGACCTGTGAGCCAAAGCCCTGCTGTAGCACTAGTACCATGGTTAACCCTCATGAAACTGATGGTTCTGCACAAGGTGTTGAATCCTGCTGGTTTCCTTCTCCAAACGAGGACGTTCTTGGATGTGGGTATCATGTTCTCTAACTAAAACATACTAAAAGGTCTTCGAGCTGCAGTGTGGGAAGTATTTTCTTTTGTAGCTATGTCATGGCCCCAGTTCAGGTACTCTGAAGTTTCACAGCTCTGACCATGTTACCCTGAACCCTGTTAGTGTTCAGCACAAGAAGTCACCGCTGGAGTGCAGTCAGGATCTTGGGCAGTCTGAGTTAGCATCCAGACTTGGCCTTCATTCCCCTGCAAAGGTGCAATGTTGTTGGCAGAGGGAGATGGACCACAAGGCTGCTTCCTTAGCTGGGCACCAATGTGTCTAAGAGAGGTGGCGTTCATGAGCATATACTTGAAATTTTCTCTTCCCCCCGCCCCCTCCATTTTTAAGACCTTTTTTATTTTATTTTTTAGCTTTTTAAATGCATTTACTTTAGTTTCTTTATTGCTTCAAGGCACAAAAATATTTAACATCGTTCATTTAGGAGTTCTGGACAACAAAGGCAGTGCTGTAATATAGTATCAAACCTCTAGCTAGGAAATAAGTGTGGTAGATGACTAGGCTAGCCTCAGGAAGGACAGGAGTCTAAGTAACTTTATTCCTTACAGTATTATCAGTTCAGATATAACTTCATTTCTGGTGATGCTGAGTTGGGACATACTGTCCTTATTTCATCCAAGCCAAAGCCACTTTACCATTGTACAATGCTTATTTGACATCTTTTCTATATTAGATTGCCAGCCAGCCTTTTGTTCAATTACAGTATAAACTTAAATGGATGTTTTTTTATTCAGAGGAAAAAAAAATCTCTATCCCTTCTTCTCTTTCAGTAGCTGATGTTTACTTCAGTGCCAGGTTTTCATTTCCCACTCTGCTTCATGACTGCACCTTTTCTTATTTATGCTCTTTTCTTTCTTCTATTGCCTCATGAGGAAAAGGGTATCTACTCTGAATATTAAACACACAGTAGGACATAAGGAACAAGGAAATCCCCGAATTAAGCCTTCTATCTAGTTCTGCTTTACAACTTTGTTTCAGTTTTTCCTTTAATTGCCTAACAAGGTCAGGACAAACTGCTCCAGATAACACTTCTTCCTTGATAGAGATTAAATGCTTGTATTGGGAGGCCAAAAAAGAGAATTGTTTCAGGAATGTAAATGTAAACCTGGGCATTTCATATTAAATTTACTACAAATGCTGACCTCATGAACAAGATGAAGAGAAATGTGCTAGGAAGGGCTGTGCAGCGCTGCAGTAGGCTAAACCCCTGATGTGGCTTGGGGGTACCTGATAAGGGACCAGTAAATAGCTCTGCCTGAATCCTGTCAATAAAGCAAGACTAAACTGGCTACATTAATTCGGTGGTATTCTGGGGAGTAGTGAAGATTAAACAAAACAAAAAACCAACCTGTCATCAGTGGTTTACTCCTTATTAGTTCTTCCTTTTAACGGGTTAAAGATGATCTGAATGTTAAAAATACCATGGTATCTGTAATTCATTCCACTGGTTTTATTTCAGGTTTTGGTGTCTCAGCTAATAGAAATTAAATATGGTGGAGGGGCTTTATTTGAGGAAAAATAATTTCAAATATTCCTTGATGATAAGGAATTATGAAAAGTGCTTCCAGTCTGCTTTAATAATTCTATAAACTGCAGTAAGAGACAGAGTTACAGCATCTTTTATATTCTTCCAGTGTCCAATGTCTGTGGAGGTTTTTTTCCTACCTTCTCTTTGGGGGAAAAGTAAGCTGTTTCTGCTCTTTTAATTAGAGAATGGTTTGCTGTGTCTTCTATGATTGACAGCTTTTGCCAGACAAAATGGGGGAAATTTAATTAGTACAGTTTCATTTTGTATCAATTTTTAAGGAAGTGGTTATTTCTGTTGTTCTTTTCTAGAGATAATAGGTCTTCAGGTAGGGATCTTCAAACAGTTATTATTTCTGATAGAGAGAAAGGGAAAATAAATGGACTGCTGGGTATTTGCTATCTACTTTGATGATACTCAGCCTTGTTCTAAATGTCTTGTTTACAAGATAAACTAACCATCATGCTTTGGCACGAAATTTTATTCAAATAAATTCAAATTAGGCTTGTGTCTATAGTACCCTTTCCAACCAGTCCAAACTGCCAAAACAAGGTTGACCGTCAAATAGATTGAAAAGGATGCATTGAAATCTGTGGAAAATGCGGACAAAACAATGCTTTTTCATACTACAAAGAGAACTGGGAACATGAACACCAGAGAAACTTTTTCCGTTAATACTCTTCACTGAGTTTCCATCATTGTAAAGGTGTTTTACTGCAGAAAAGGAGAAATTGCACCAGTGTTAGTGCTGATTTACTCCATACTTTCCTGTAAAATTAATTTGGCTTCTATAAATAAATAAAATTGTATGTTCTAGTCTAACACCTTTTTACTCTGTGTTGTAATCTCCTTTAGTACTCTAGTGCAGCTAGTTTAAGAAAGCACATTGAACATCAAATGGTGGACATCACAGTTACTGCATTCTCATGAATATTCCTGTGAAGTTAAGAATTACCATCCAACCAAATCAGTACAAGGCAGTTCTCACTAAATGTGTTACTCGTGCTGTGTGGATCTACACTTGTTTTAGACAGTTACATGAATATGATGAATTCAGGTATCTTCAGACAACTTATGAAAACAGTGAGAAAAGAGCAGTAAAAAAAGAAGGATGCCTACATCGTCTTGATCACGCCATTAAGGGCTGCTTCCCACCACTGCTTCTCTTAGTGGACCGTCCTCTATCAGCCAGCCCAGCTCCACAAGGTGTGGAGTTTCCCATCTGCCACCACAGTCACTGGGAAGATGCAAGATGTCTGCACCTTACAGGATCCAACGCGCAGATAAAAAGGAGCAGCAGTGTTTCCTCTGAGGCCTGATCGGATGATTATGTCCTGTGAACTACAAAGTTTCAGTTAAAACCCAGCCAGGTGCCAGGTTCCCGCCATGCTGCTTCAGGGGCAGCTTCTTGAACGGATCAGACAGCTTAGGCTCAAGGAGGTGCCCTGGAGCTGTCTGTTGGGTGGCACCTTGTGCACAGATCTTTGGTTTTAGGTCTGGGTTTGGTATTTTTTCCAACACAGATCCTGTCGCTGCTATTGTTTTCTCTTTAAATGGGTGTAGGCAAAGCAGAGGCTGTAACATTTGAGGCTCATTGTCATTATGAAATCATGATCCAGACTTCATAGCTTCATAAGGAGTTGGAGTGAGATTGTTCTTTATTTTCCCAGATGCTCTCGTTTGGGGCAGTAACACAGAGGGCAGCCCTGTCACCAACTGGACTATGGTAGAAGTTTTGGAGGAAGGGAGCTCTTTTTTCCCTTTGTAGCTGGGTTTTGAAACATTCTCCTTATACCTCATCCTGAGATTTTTTACTGAAATAAATTTTGTGCAAGTGGGTTTTTCTTGGTGTGAAAAATGACACTGCAGGGCTGGCACTTAAGTCATGACTTTTCGTGAGCACAGACTTATGCACCAAACTGTAATAAAATCATAGTTCAATTACACCTGCTTTACACAGGCTCAGTCCAAACAATCTCACAGTTATTTTTGGCTGAGCTGATGCATATCCAATGTGGGGGGTAAATTGATTTGAATGGACTGAAGGCAAACCTCTCTCCATTGCTCCTATGTATTTTTTTAAGACTTTCCATTTGACTACTTTCATTTCATTAAAACTGGTAAAGACCAGCATTAGGAAGAATTTCTTTATCAAGAGGGTGGTCAAACACTGGAACAGGCTTCCTAGAGAGGTGGTTGATGCCCCAAGTGTGTCAGTGTTTAAGAGGCATTCAGACAATGCCCTTAACAACATGCTTTAACTTTTGATCATCTCTCAAGTGGTCCAGCAGCTGGAATAGATGATCTTGTAGGTCCCTTCCAACTGAAATAGCTCTGATTTCTCTTTGAAGTGAGCAGCAGGAGGGCTGAATGGAAAGAGAAGCCTGAATGGGACACCTCCCTCTGACAGCTGGGCAGGGTGGGCAGGGAGAGGAAAGGTGCCTGGGCGAGCTGGGTTGGGGTGACAGCGGCTCATCCCTGCAGGGAACTCGTGGCACCATCATAGGACAATAGCAAAGCTTTCTGTGATTTGACCAACCTGTGAGTCACAAACTAGTGATAACCACGGCATTAGAAACGCTGTGGTCAAGCTGAAGCTGACAGCCCACTTTATGGATGGTCTTAGGGTACAAAAGTGGGAGAGGGCAAAGGATGTCAACCTCCAGATCCATAGAGTCAAGAAAACCAGGTTTTTACTGAGGAGCAGAATAGACTTCTTTACAGAGGAGACACAGGACTGGATTCTAATTTTGTGTCAGAATCCCTTCCATCATTCAGGCAGTGGGGTAGACCCTTAATATTCATTTTTAATGTATATTTTCCCAGCAATTTCAAATGCATTGTGTGAATTTTCAGCCCCAGCCATGTATCAAAGGCTCTGTGGTACGGAACTGCTTAATTCTCAACTTCTCATCTGGTGTTTTCACAAACCTCAGATTTGGCCTTTGTTTCAGGATCAGAGCACTGCCTCCAAAAAGCCTTTTTTGTGCTGGCTGGCTGGTGCAGCTGGGGACGTGGGCTGCGGCTGCCCACTGTCTGCAGCAGCTCCTGCCGACGCGGCGGCTGCTTTCGGCTTCCTACCTCGAGCTGTGGAGGGACGAGCTGCACAGGACCCCCTCTGACCCGTGCTTCAGACAAGGGGCTACGGCTGCAGCTGCTGCCCACAGCCCTGCTCCTGCCCTTTGGAAGAACACATGGCTCTACATGGAGGGTGATGCTGGTGCTGGGTTTGGGTGCCCTTCACCAGCTGAATGACAAGAGCAGTGAGAGGAAAATGGAAGGGACAGCTGATGAGGTGGGAGAGGGATTTTTCTGGCTTTTAAACCAAAATGCAGCTCTTTTGTACACAAGTAATAAAAGAAGGGAGGCTTCTGAATGCCAGCTTGTCTGAATAAGATTTCCAACTACAAGTTACAGCAGCTTCCAGAACCTAAAGAAGGGCTACATGAAAGCTGAGGAGATACTTTTTACAAGGGCCTGTAGTGACAGGACAAGGGGGAATGGCTTTAAACTGACAGAGAGGAAATTTAGATGAGGTAGAAGGAAGAAGTTCTCCCCTGTGAGGGTGGTGAGGCCCTGGCACAGGTTGCCCAGAGAAGCTGTGGCTGCCCCATCCCTGGCAGTGTTCAAGGCCAGGTTGGACGGGGCTTGGAGCAACCTGCTCTAGTGGAAGGTGTCCCTGCCCTTGGCAGGGGGGTTGGAAGTAGATGAGGGCATGGTCCTTTCCAACCCAAACCATTCTATGACTACATGAAGTTGCGATGTGCTGTTTGCATGATTATATGCTAATGCCTGGAAATTTTACAGCCAACATCTCAGAGTCATACACACTAATTATCTTCCTGAAATACAATTTTTTTAAATTTGATGTATTTGGCAAGCATTACCTTCAGCACATTTTTGTGTTCAATAAAATCAAGTTTCTGCAGAAACCTCATTTGATGTGGTTTTCTTCTCTTTATTTCTGCCTCATTTGTTAAAGAGCTTTCCTCTAACTGTTGTCTCTCTTATGTAGATTTAGTGTGGAGAGTTTTAAGAGATAAATCACAGTGCGGCAAGTTATGGAACTTTAAAATTTACCATACCAGTAACCTTAAAAGACAAATCAAATATAAATAATTATTAAGCATTTGTTTATTTGTTTTATTAAAAAAAAAAACCCTATACAACTTAGTAGATTTAGTAAGCTACACTAAAAATCACCTGGCTATAATTCCACTTTTTACTACACCTTTTGGGAGATTTCCTATCTTTTCAACACTATAATGCATTGCTTGTTTTAATACATGAATGCAATGCAAGTGCACAGCTCCACTGGGACCAGCTGTCAGGAAACTGGATTATCTGTCACAGTGTATATGTACACACACGTATCTATATCTACCTTACCAAACAGCCTGCATACAGGGCAGGTAAACACCAGGCGGAATTACCAATATTTTTCTACCAGATGAAAATAAAGCCAAATCAGATGAAAGTACCCATCTTGTGGTTCACATCATGGATACACCCTTCGTAGGTAGCTTTCCTTTGCTAAATTCAGTGATTTAACTGCAATGGAACAACACCGCAGCAAACTGCAGAACTCCTTGAATTGGAAGGTGAGAAACAATAGCAAAACATTGTGTTTGAGAAGTTCGTGAATCACACCAACATAATTTGAGATTAATTTGTACTGTTGCTGCTTTCACAATCTGCTGGGGTCATAAACCCAACAGATGCATAGCAGGTTGTAACTGCTCCCCCGTCCACAGAACTCATGCTCTTGTCTCCTTCTACCCCTTTCTCCTCCTGGAAGATCGGGCCACTGTTTCAGTGCTCAAATAATACACTTCCTTGTAGGGAATAGCTGAAATCTTTGAAAGGGGCTTTGGGGTCAACTTGTCAGAAATTCCTTGCTACTGCAATGTGGGGATAAACGTAACCCAACAACTAAGAGGTACATTGTAACGGAACATCTGGGGTTTACCAGCATCTTAGCCAGTCCAAGCTGGCGGGTAAAACTAAGTCATGCAGATTTAGTGCTACTAGTGCACCTTTCTGCATTGTTTAGAATTCGTGCAGCACTTGGGGCTGCCTTACTTCTTTTTAAACAATGACTCACATAAGAAGGAAAAAAGGCAACTATGGGTTTTTCAGTGATGGTGTGACATTCAGAACCTCAATCTAGGTTGCATCTCTTCCTACAGCGTAAGAGGTGTCTTAATGTGCTGCTGACTTTCATTTCTGGTTTTTTGAATGCCGGTAAACCAAAGATAATGTACTACAATAGCTTACCCCAAGAAAGCACAGCCACCCTCTTCCCACTATGAGCAGATCTTGACTCCCATGTCCAGTCTTAGCCACAAGACACATGAAAATGCTTATGGTCCAAAAGCATTTTTCCTGCTTGCAGGTGATGGCTCAGTGAGTGTTCAGTAATTTAAGAATTTGTCAATATGAGAAGAAACCAAATGAATATAATTGGAAAAAATTAGAAAGGTAAATCCAGAGTGAGGCTCAGACTGGCAACCCTTGGTCAGGCCTTCCTAATCAGAGGGCAATAAAAATCTTTTTGTAATGTGGGCTCATACAGCTGTTGCACATGCTCAATATTGCATCTCTCTGATGTTTTCAGGTTGAGAGGAAGATGCTCACAGTTCAGATTTCCCCACTCTCTTCTTTCTGTCAGGTGTGGTTTTTTAACCGTGAAGGATAACCACTACCACTAAAGAGTTAATCACAACGGCCTCAATACAGTATTACATGTAAATAACAACACAAAGGTAAGATATTTGTCTCTTGATGTTCCTCACTCTCATCTGACTCTACTCACACCTGAAGATTGAATATTGTGAATTAAAATAGCAACCGACTGCAGTTTCTCACGTTCTGTCACTGAAACCTTAATCTGCCAAAACACGCTCACTAAACCAGACGTATGTAAAGGATCCTCTTTACTCCAGCAGGACCCACACACGCAGTTAGAACTGAGCTCCAAGATATTCCCTTCTGGCCAGGCATGGAAGAAAGGCAAGAGTCAGCTATTCAGCATTACATGGGCGCTATCAGATGTCCAGATGTCTTTATTGATAATACGCTGCACTTGGGCCAGCACGGTTTCAAAATGGGTAGTTCAGGTTGGTTGCTCCAAAATCAGACACAGAGAAGCAGCAGCTCTGAGAGATGGCAAAGATCATGATGAGGAACCCGTGTCCAAGATGATGCTGGGATTTCTGAATCCTGATGGATCAGCATGAGTAGTGACCTCTTCCCATAAGACATTGGCACGGCAGGTTTATTAAACATATCTAGATTACATACGTGTATCTCTGTCACACAGCAGGTCTTCAGTGTCAGACCAGTGACCTGCAGGCAGCCAGCGAGGCCTTTGCCTGCAGCTGGTAAAGGCAGGTCTAAAAATGTGGCATGTGAAGAACAGCACAACTTTATAAAGATCTGAATATCTGCAGGTGTTAGAAAAAACCCAGACAAGACAGAATCTTCTTTGGGAGATGGTAACTTAATTCTCTGGTTAAGAAACAGGTCCCTCATTTGTCAGAGCAGAGAATTTCTTTCAAAGCTGTTTCTAACATAGAACAAATTCGATGTCAGTGAGCTGGAAAAAGCAAAGTGGTTATCTTTCACTTCCAGTTTTAAGGAACAGCTTTGAAACCTACTGGGAAACATTTACACACTCTGCATTTATTGCTGTAATAGACTTGCTTTCATTTTTAAAGCCAGGCATCACCACATGGGAATTTCACACAGTTGGTGTCTTTCACAGCTCATGAAAACACCTGTATTTCCCTCCTTGGTGGATAGATGATTCATGTCACAACCAGAATACGCTTAAATAGCTTAGCCATATTTAGCATAACAGTCTGCTATTACTCTGTTGTCACTGTTATGTTTCTTTCCTGGGGTATCTAGGCAGATCATAAAGACAAGCAGAAGGAAAAACGGCTTTTGCTTCTCAGTTCAAGATATTGAGAACACAGCTTAGATTTGAAGTATTCAACCTCCAAGAAGAATAGAATTCCTACCAAGGATTTATTATTAAAAATAAGACACTGTAAAGAATCACAGATGGCAGGGCTTTGCACCTCAGTGCCACTGGAGGTGGGGGGAGGAAATCCAAATGTAGGGGCTAACCAGCAACATAGGAAAGAGGCAGTCAAAACAGCATATTGATACAATTAACCCATTTTCTGCTTTTCTGAAAGATTAAATTTGGAGAGGGGAGTCACTTGAAGTTCTACTTGAACAGTGGCTCTTGCACTGGGATACGAATTGTATCAGCCACTATTCCAGGTGGAATAACATGATAGAACATTTAAAAGGCACATGGTGCCATGTTCAGTAAGTTTGATATTACTGCAGTTGCAAATAAAATGGATCTTATTATCGCTGTCTTGAAAAATCTGGTAGATGGTTCTTGGCTTTAATACTGTAATACAGGGACTACAAGACGAGAATGTTCAGCATGCAAATCATGTAGCTTTTTATTTAATGAACGATGCGATAACTAAGGCCAACATACATATTTAAAGAATAAACTTGTTTCAAGTATTTCACTTCACTTGTACAAAACGAGGTAGGCACATTTTGTCTGGCAGTTGCTGTTTTACCAGAGATAATAATGCTCACGTCTAGCAGCACTGGCTTGAGCTTCTTGAAGGGGCTACAGGATGAAGTCAGGCAGCCTGCTTCTCAGTCTCATTAAAAAGTAGTAGTAAGGCCTGAGGTAAGTTTCAAAATGACATGTGTTTCTTAAGATTTGCTTTATAAAGTATTTATTGAGCTCTTTTTGTGTGGTACAACACTGACCCGAGGTATCTGTGTTGTAGAGTGTGAACGTACGCACAGCTCATTACCTACTCACTGGAGCTTTGAAAATTTCAGCGTTTGAAAGATAACAATGAGTGACAGATCCATGATCATACTTAATGATTGGGGAAAAAAAGATAAACGAATGTCTGTTTGGCTTATGAACAATTGTTTGAGACAAATGCGGGGGGAAAAAATCAAGTTAAGATCAGCTACCTGGAGCAGCAGCCAAGCCAATCTGTCAGGCTTCAGTATCTGCAGTGAGGAGATGACTAAAGCTTTTCACCACCACAGCTGTTCAGCATGAAGAAAGCAAAGCATGTACAGAAAACTGACCAGGGGAAAGGATTCACAAATCATCATAAAGACACGGAGGCATTCCCTCCAAAGTTTTCTCAGACACTGCTTGTATCTGTCTGGGAAGTGTATTTGACTATTTTTCTCCCCTTCTTTGATGGCTAAGTTCATGGAGTACCACACATGGATGTGGATGCTGGGCAGAATCACACTAGGCACTCTCCAGTGCATGGGACAGCCTGCCAAAGAGGCCAATTTATGTTGTCAAAAGCAACTTCAGCTTTGCCAACTCATTGGCATTAACTGAATCACCTTAAATTTAAAGAAAAAAAATTCCAGGGGAAAAATAATCCCCAGTGCCAGGGATATGGAAGGCTGGTTCAGGATACATATGAACAAATCAGAAGAGAACCCTTGATTGCTTCTGCTGATTACTCATTGAGCTGTGAGTCGTGCCTTTGATTTAGGGCAGGGAAGCCCCACTGTCATCTACTGGCTGCACGTCCAAGCATGAGACACAGGGCCATAGTATGTGGCTATTAAATGCTTCCCAAAGATACCACACATCCCGTTTCAGCCAAGCAGCCGGATACCAACAGTTTTGCACACTACTCCTGGACTTCGTAACCAACGTCAAAATTCGGTACCAGTTATACAAGGTACTGACAAGCTGTACCAGGCTGGAACCAGAATATCACTTTCAAATCTACGATAACGTCCCTCACCTAGCAAGTTTTTTCCTGAAATATTCTGTATTTTTCCTAAAAAGAAAAGAAAACCCACCTCTGCATGTCCACATGCCTGAACTTTTTTCCTAGAACACTTCCAAAAAAATGAAGCTTCTAGTCAAAAATCAAGTAGCACCTGTGTTCCATGTCTTTCACCAAGCTTGTTGTTTCCAAAGTAGGAACAGAACCGTACCTACCTTTTTTTCAAAAGCAAACCTAGCAAGGCTGCCCTCGCTAACTTCAGCAAGATCACTAGTTTTGGAATAAAAGGGACAATTTGTCAGAATATTCAAAATGGAACCTGCAAAATCAGCAAATGCTGGCATTCAAGGGTTGAACTCTTGCCTAACTAGAAAAAAAAAATAATCTGCAGAGTGAAGGTTTTACGATTATTTTTTTTTCTTCCTTTAAATTGAAACATTACTGTTTGCTAGAGAGAAAATATTTTGTAAAGTAAAGTGACACTCCTCCAAGAATCTTTATGGGTCTGGCCTGATTTTTAATGTCAAACAACACGTCACAATCACAGACCATCAATCTAAAACCTAAAGTATCCCCTTCTCCAACAACTTCACAAAGTTTCCACAAAACATCAGACAACCCACTTTATATATAAACATTTGCATCCAGCTGTTGGGTGAAATCAGTTATCTCAGTCACCTCCTTCCTAAAAGTGTATTTACAATTACAAAGGGTGCAGTTAAAGAATACACTTACCCAGCACTATGGATCATTGTGACTGATCAGAAGCAGCAGCACTTAATTGCCGGAATGCCCACCAGACCACAAGACAAATCTCTAAGCACCACAGATTTAAGACAAGGTGCAGTACTATCAAAACCAAGCAGTTCTTACAAACAGATCAACTAGGCTTATGCAGTTACTTCAGATACTCTTCATAAGATCAGGGAACAAACAGTAAAATAGCAAGACACTGAGTTGTTAGACCTAGTCATTTTTGGCTTTGTGTGTTCTCCATTAGCATGCATTTTACAGGTACCTTAACATTTTATAATTTTTGTTTTAAGCTTTGAAACTTCTGTTAAAATATTAAGTTTCAACTGCAATAATTTCTAAAGTTAATGAAATGCTTGATTAAAATACAAACCTATCCTAAATTTTTTTATAAATTCAATTTAGCAAAAGGAATGCAAAACTAAATCCTTACATACATTTGCTGACAAAAGCCCAAACCCAAAGTTGCAGTAGTTTTGTTAGACCAGAATGTGTTTAATGGCTGAAACTGTATGTGAACAAAACACAGTTGAGGCACAGCTCCACAGCTTTCAAGTCTTAAATTATGGTGAGCTGATGCAATCAAGGTAATTGAGAAGACACACTAATGAAATCGCCTGCAAACTGATTCATGCATTTTAAATTCTCCATTCTCTCCCACAGCAGTGCCTTTTTGCAAGAGGTCACAGCAGAAGCTAGACCTTTGTAATCCACAAACTCACTATGCTCGAGGATGAGCTGGAATGCCTGCAGTGAAGGCTCCAAACCAAAAGTGTAAAGCTATTCCTTTAGTAACAGCTTTCTGTTCCAAAGTAAGAGAAAAGCGATGAGCCCATTTTCACACTCTGAACATCCTATGTCCTGTTTCTACACCAGGGGCTTCACAGAATATCCATCACCTAAATGGGACTCGCGCTTATATAAGCCGTCTATGTTCACAGGGACAGGATTTTCACCCCAGTTCTATGTTTAGCAACTGCCTAATGAGAATCATATCAATCACTAAAAGAAACCCCCAAGAGCCCTGAAACAAATTTGCTATTGCTAAGGGCTCTAGTGAAAGACCAGAACCAATGGGGTTATGAAAGCAAACAGGCTGTAGTTTTGAAATGTTTCCTACTACATAGAAGAACAAATGCAGGATGTGACGTTTGCTTAGTTTTATTAATTTATTTTTGCAGGAACCTGCAACTCGGAGTATGCACTTTCTGGAGGTACCATGCATGCATAGCCTCTGAATGCTTTTATACAATTTCATCTCTTAGTAATAAGTTCATTCACAGCATACACAAATCTAGAATGTAGACACCATATATACAGGATTAAACGAGATCGTGTCTTCTTTTTTTAATGAAAAAATTTAACAGGGTTTCACATAGCAGGAAATATGGATTAGATACACTGGTGTCACCATAAATAAATAAGTTTCAAGAACACAGGTTTATTTCAGAATTGGTTTCAAAGGTACTGAAAATCCAGGATTATAATATTGCATTAACTCCACTGATTTCTGATTATTCGAACCCAAGAAAAATATTTGCATTAATATTTATGGACATAAACAGCAGTGAAAGCCCCAAACTGAAGAAGTCTGGCAGAATTCAGTCATGTCTAGCTTCACATAATATTGACGTTTTGAAACGAAACAAATGCAGCAGCACATAGAGACAGTACTGACTATGAGATGTGACATCTGTGCACCTTGTCTTTACGGGATTTAGAGTCAATGTAGTACAGAGCATGTAAATTCTGTGGTACCAAACAAACTGATTAATTGTTTATGTCCAACTGTCCACTTCTCATCAGGATAGTCATTTTCACATTCTAGGGTATACCACTGTATTTTAAAACAAAAACTATCATCCTGATGACAAGCTTGTTTTCAACATATTTAATATTCTCACATTCTTTTTTAAAACATTCTTTATTGATTTTGTTTTGTCCCCATTTCAACTCAAGTATTTTTATTTCAGTTTCAAGGGGTTTTACAATCAGTATTAAATGTAAAAGTACTTAGAAATTGAAATGAGAGATGTATAACTGGGATAGATAAAGTAACTGAAAGAAAAGTTGTTGGGTTTTTTAAATGTGATTTAGTAGCATATCATAATCAGAAAGTACTGAGACCAGCTCTTTTAAGAATTATTACACCTTTTCACCACACCTCCCATTTTTCAAGGGAAACACACACATACCACAGACACACAGATACACAATTCAATCTGATCTAAGACTACATTTTACAAAGGACTTCCTTTTGCTTGACTTCCCACCCCTTTCCTCCTCTTCACCCATAAAAAGACTAATAATTACATCAAATTAAAAGCAGATCCAAAGTTCAGGATTTCTTTTGGTTTGCTATGTTCTGAATCATTTTCCACAAGCCCCACTCTAAATAAACTTTTAAAGATCTACAGTAGTATTCTATAATTAAAAGGGAATTATTCTTAATAGCACAGTAAATATAAAATAAGCTTTATAAAATTTCCAGGAACAGTGAAATCATTTTGAATATCTGAATGTCCAAGTCAGTTACAAACTCTGTCAATCTAGTAGCATGGTTGAGGGAAAGCTCAGTCATTAAGGAAAAAAAGAAAACACAAGTAGTGCATTAACTCAACACAACGGCATCAGCATCCCACCATTCACACACACACACACACACACACACACACGTTTTATACAATACAGTGCATTTCGTATGCCAGCTGACGTTAGGGTTTTATGTGCATTCAATAAATACTACATAAACCAATCTTTTTGGTATAATCTACAATTCAGTTGGGGTGTGTATGGCGCCACTGGCTTTCAGAAGGAAAATGGATCTTCCAATATTCAAAATACAATTTACATTCTAATAAACTAGAAATATTCAAGCACCATGTAAAGTCTTTACTATTAATGTTTGAGGATAGGCATTTACAAGTAAAAGAATATAACGGAAGGATTCGTTGGGGTTTTTTGTACAAGCAACAAATGAGACCAATTGAAAAACTGGAGTAAAATTACTGGTATGAAGGAATTCATTTGAAATTTAACTGCACTCAGTCTTCCAAAAAGTATCTTGCTGTCATGGCAGCCTTCCTTCTCTTCCTCTGGTGAAACTACAACTAAGATACCCCAAGTATCCATTTATGGTTATTACAGCTCAGGGAATTACTGGACTGCATGTATTCCTCCCCTACCCCCTTCAAAAGTAGCATTTATTCTGTCTGAAAACAGCACAACTGTATTGATGCATGATACCTATTCTCGTTTGCTGTCATTTCAGTTGCTATCATTTCGTATTTCCAGCAAAAACAAATGCTTCTAGAACTTCAGCAGAAGTACAAATGAACAGAAAATTGAAATAATACAAAGGCAAAGGCATCAAAATAGAAAAGTCATGAAGTTACTGGTATTGTTTTGAGTAATTCATTATACAGCTGATAACAGCAACAGCACTGCTTATCCTTGGTGTAATGCTTCTGCTCACCTGTCTTCTAGTTATCTCAGTTTTGTCAGACTATCCACCTATATGACCAAAATTAATACTTGCTTTCTAACTTCAACTGACACTGATTTTTTTTACCCCTTTCCACACGTGATGAGCTCCCCACATAGTAATATAAATCATTAGGAAGGAAGAAAAACTAGCTCTGATGCCTTTAACTTTGTTTTGCTCATCAGTGGTGCACACTGATTGCTGGAGTTCTCTTAGCTTATTTAAGATTATGCTGAAGATTTAATTAGTGCAAGAACATATTGAAAAAATGCTAGATAAAATATTGATTCCTCATCTAAGATCACAGTTTGGTTTTCACGGTTATCTTTATAACTTGCAGGGAGAGAAGACACCAGATTGAGTGGTGCAGTCAAGATGAGCGTTCCTCCACCCACCCCTTACAACAGCTGCTTTATTTTAAAAAAGGATTCAGACACATGATTGTTCTACCACAGCTTAACATGTTATCACACATCAAGAGAATTGTGATAACTGACCATACGGATGTGGCTGCCACGAGCTAAAAAACAATTTAAAATTAAGTAGTCTTCTGCTAAATTTTAGCCAGCACATTTTGCCTCACAGTTGCAAAGTCAATTACCATGATTCAGCTGACGTGCTTGGTTGCATCTCTTGACAAAGAATCAGATGCAAAAAACTAAAATGCACTGTACCAGCTTCTCACCAGTACACAAGAACATTCTACTCAGTCGCACAGTTGTGTAACATAATCATTCAGCTGCCCAAACCCAAGTTCGATTTCACAAGTATTGAGTGCTTTATTACAGCAACCTGAAGCATTCAAACAAATTGAACATCACTTTTATAATACAGTATATTGTATGCATGAAAGTACCAGTGTGATTTTCAGTTGCAAGTCTTGTGTTCTTCAACCTACAGCAAGTATTTCCTGACCAAAATAAAAAGAATGCGGTGTGTATAATTTTTCCGGATCTGGCATCTGCTACTTTATACAGGCTGGTTTATTAACAATGTGCAAATAAACCTTTACTGAAGAGCTAATTGATTAATTATTTTTCAGCTAACTTTGAACTGGGGCACAAAGTACCTTCTGTGCTGTAAACATCATGAATTCTTCACAAATTGGAAGCTGAAAAGGCCTAAGGAACTGGGTAAAACTCTTCTCATACACAACCATGGCTGAGCTCAAGTCTTCCAAACTGAATTTGGAGTAGTCTGTGTTTGGCATATGTAGCTGTGCTGCTACACAGCACAGGCTTAGAAGATTGTTGTATATAAAAGCATACTTTTAGCTTTGAAACACAATGGCCTAATGAAAGCATGCAGCAGTATTTTTGTCCATAATATGGTAGAATTCATTCTTAGTTTATTACCAGTGTTGACACAGCCAGGTGAGCACTGTACAAGCAAAAGGGATTGTAAAAAATTACCTCTGATTAAACTCTCTGTAACACTCAAATGGTATCTCATTTAGTCACCTTAGGTTACTATTTCAAACAGCAATTTTTTTTTGTAGACATAAGTTACCCTGAAAAAAAGCAGCAATTACAAATACCCTTCTCCTTGGTTTTTTATACATTGTAAAATTTATCATTGCATTTACCTGTCTCCTTTTTTCAGTAGCTTACAATCTAGAAGCACAGGGAGCCTTTGTTTTCCAGCTAGCTGTGGCCAGGTTAAGTCAGTTCTGGCTCTTCAGTTTCTGGTTAAGTGTAACATTTCACACCATTACTAAGAATCCTATAATTTTTTTATATATAAAAAACAAAAAAGTTGTTTTGCTTTTTTTCTTTTTGAGCCACTAAGCAGTAACTATAACCACAGGACTAAATACCAGTAGTTATTTGCTTTCCTGTATACATTCTTCCCAAAATTAATCCTTTTACATTTTCAAGTTTCACTTTCTGCTTTGTTCACTGCGATGGGATAAGAAAGAATTTCACCTTTAATTTATTCATTTTCAGTGTAGCACAAGCAGAAACATCCTACCACATTACTCCCACCCCTTGCAGTATGAAGATTGTTGACTAGCAAAGGCCGGGCAGATGGACTGAAAGGTTCCCCATGTTTCCTTCTCCTACAGCTGTTGGCTTAAGAGCCTGTTTTCAACCCAATGCAGCCCCTTCCTGATTTTCAGGTGTATCTCGGCATTTCACACTGCTCACAGCGATTTAGTGCTGGGTGATTTAGAAAGGTGCAGCTATCACAATTCCATGGAGCCCCTTCAAAATCTTCATCTCTTGGCTGAGTCCGTGGAGTCTGTTTGGAGCTACTTTGATGCTCTAAAAAAAGCCAAAGGAAAACATATATATTTTCATTTTTTCAGAAGAAAAGATTGATAGGCAAGATGATATTACTGTGGTTTGTCACCTCACTAAACATTCAATCTTAAAGTGAAGGTGGAAATCTATCCACTTAGTTAACATTAAAGGTCTTTTGCTAAGCCGCTTCTATTTCAATTTGGGAAATACTGAAGTATTTCACGTCTAGAAAGTAGTTACCATATTACAATAAAAAACAAAAGAGCAGTCACCACTGTTAGGCCACTGATACTGCCAAAGGTTTAATAGCTTAAAATGTAGTGAAAAGTTTGTCACCGGCACTGCAACACCATCCTTTTAAGGAATGACTTCATAGCTTTACATACAGCAGTCTCTCACCAAATTCTAAATTCCAACCACCTTACTTTACCTCAAGTGAAAGACTACTTCTAACTTAGTTCCTTCAAACAGTCTGAGAGATGAGCTATTTTCCGCATCTTTGTCTAGCATTCATCCAGGCTGAAGAAAACACAGTATAAAAACAAAACGGTAGGCCTGTTTCAAAACAAGACGATTGTTCTAATTCCTCATGGCTCTGCAGCAGGGATACGTGTTTGTGAAGCACCACTTAAGTGCTTTCACTCATAAAGTCAATATATATGCAAATCATATGTAGGTATTAACCCTCGGACTTGGTTTTCTGCTGTCTCCTACCACTACTTCAAGACCGCAGGTAATCAACTAAAAGTGACAAATACTCCTAGGATGTGGAAACAACATTTTAGAAAATGTTAATGTTCAAAACACCATTTGCACACATACCTACAGGGTAAAGTTAAGATACGCATCTGCTAAACAAACATCTGTAGAACAGCTTAATTAGAAGAGAATTTATGTTGAAAGAAAGGACTGCAATTTTTAATTCAAAGTGCACACACTGCTGTCATCTGCTAAGAAATCTAGCAGGTGGCTGATGACAACATTAATGCAAATAGTACTTAGATTTGCCTTGAGAAACATACTTAAAGAAAACCCTCTTCCAGCCCAGAAGTGGCATAGTCACTTAACACTGCTTGGCCTCACCAAATTCCTTCTAAGCAAGGAAGTAGCTGGGCACTAGGCTGCACCACGTTGACTGGCCAGACAGCAGCACAGAGCAAACGCTTGCCTGCTCATATCTACCTGTCTGCCCACAGCTTCAACAACTGAGTATTAGGGGACAGTAATTTTAAGAGGGGAAAAAAACCAAAACCCCAAACCAAAAAGAACTATTTTCATGACTCCACATTAAAAGCCAAACTTAGAAGACAGCACACCAGCCCTAAAACTGATCTCTAGTAAGCTGACAGACAAAACCGGGAATCTAGTCATAAAAATTGTACGAATCAGTACAAGACACTGTCTTTCCAACTGCCAAATAAAATCACTTGTTTCATGCAAGTTTTGCACGTTATTTTGCTTCACAATAATAAATCAAATAGGCTAGTGTAACGAAAAGAATCTCCGAATCTCTTTACATATCATGAAGTAGCAGGGCCTTAAATCAACTACATAACCAACCAGGCAAATCATGCAATTTACCATGAATCTAGGCAGCTGCCTTCACACCACTGCTCACCTGCTGTCTCTCCTGGACAGTACCACCTATGCAGGGAACTCACCCTAGTACTGGAGGGGTTTGGTTTTCTTTTGAACCAGAAGCAGTAGTTCTGGGCCTTCTCTTTCTTTTACATTTCTACATACTAAGAATTTTATTACAGCAAAGGGTAAAACACCTGCTTCAAAAGAGTAGGAAAAATTTCCTTATATGAAGTAAAAAATTCAAGTGCAAAAACCTTTGGGAAGTACTTGTCAGCAACTAGAACTTATTTACAGAATTCGGATTTTCAAGCAGACTAGATGGTTACTAATTCAGAAGACTGACTTCCTTTTCCACTAACTATTTTAGTACATACTACAGTAAGAAGAAATGAATATTATAAATCTTTTATCTGAAAATGGTATATGTGATGAGAGCACTGTTTTCTCTATATCAGAGCACAGGATCCCTGACTGGCTATTTCAGTATAAAGTGTTTAAAAACTTTCACCAACATTTGAAACCATTCTTTCACAAATTTCAGCAAGAAAAAAAAAGAAACCAACAAAACAAACCAAAAGGTCCAGAAAAACCTGAGACAAAAGGTAGGATTCTGCTCCAAAATCACCACTAAACATAGTGGAGTTCAGAAAGCTACTAAGCTACACAGTGACAAGGTGTTGAGTCACTCTGGGATATACTAACTGAATCTCCAGTGGACAAGAAGTGAGACTAAACACATAGCTCCTGTGCGTACATAAAACTTAAGTGTCCCAAGATGCATAGGAATCCTAGATACTATACAATTAGCCCAGAAAATTTTAGAAACCAGTAATGAACTTGTACAAGTGGGACACTGTTGTCTCTTTAGACCTATATGAGAAAATGTGTTCTGTCTTGGTCCTTAAAGACATCTGATGCTCTTGCTGTGCTAAAACTTCAGAGCTACTGTGAAATCCACACTCTGCACAAAAAATACTTAAAGTGTGACCAGATAAGTCAGAATATAATGCAAATTTTAAAAAGCTGCTGTGACCAATTAAACTTGCATAAAATATACCAACTATAAAATCCTAACACATATTAGAAGACAGCAAAACAAACCTGACACAGACCTTTCAACTTCAAAGTATCTAAAAAAACATAATTAGGAAGCTCAAGTTAACATGTAAAAGTTTATATACCTTCCAGTCTTTTTCTAATAGTGAGTAACAGTATCTAGAAACAACATTAACAGAACATTCATTGCAACAAGCTGCCTGAGGAAAAAAAGCTGTAGCCAGGATTAGTGTAATTACACAAAAACATTCCATTCTGGTTCAGTTCATATATAAAGAAAAGTTACAAAAATTGGAATTGCTTCCTGTCATCACAGGAGTTTTAGAAAAAGAAAAAAAAGGGGAAAAAAAAAAAATCCCACAACCTTTCTCAATGCAGATTAGGTAACTTGATGCTCATTTGTTGACCTACCCTTTTTATATGGCTTTGGCGGCACAACAGGACCAGGCTCTATGTTATCATAGAAGTTACACGTGGCTTTCGGATCAAAGTTCCCTGACAAAGAAGACAAGTAAGAAGGTTATTTACATACCTATGCCAGCAATACAAACATCTAGAGACTTCAGATTTTATACGTCTTTTTATTATGATGTTATATATTAGCTTTTTCCTGAGTAGGCTTTTTGTCACATATTTTCAGTTTTGTGTTGATTCTAGTATTTCTTTAACAGGCTAATCTCATACTGAAGAATCAACTCCAGCTCAACAATTCTGTACTGCTTTAAAAAGAAGTGAAAACGTGAATTTTTCTGCAGGAGACATTCTTGGTATTCCAATCTATTTGACTGTACTTATGTCAAAGTTTGTCATAGAAAAAGGATTTAAAAAAGCCCAAGTAGATTTCCGCTTGACAACTTCTTGGTTGCAACCTGTAGCTCTGTTTTGCATTATTTGGTCAGAGCCTTTGTCAGCAAACAGGTAAAAATTTAAGTAAAGAACCTTTACTTAAGAATGGTTTTATGGCTGGTTTGGTGGTTGTTTTTTTGTTTGTTTTTTTTTTTGTTTTTGTTTGAGGTTCCTCCCTCCCCCCCCCCTTTGCTCTTGACAAAGTCACTTTAAGGCAGCACTTCCTCGGTAATGTAATTTAACTTGCCCAACAGAAATATTGAAAGTCAAGTTTATCAGGTTGCAACTGAAAAAGTTGATACTGATAAACAAAAGTGAACTTCAAAGAGTCCAAGTATCCACCTTTGAGCTCATACTATATTAGAATCACAGAATAGTTTAGATTGGAAAAGACCTTCAAGACCATCAAGTCCAACCTGTAATATTGCGAAGTCCACCGCTAAACAATGTCTCTAAGTGCCACACACATCTTTTAAATACCTCCAGGCATGGTGACTCAAACACTTCCCTGGGCAGCCTGTTCCTGTGCTCGAGGTATATGGACTATCAAAGTTTCCTCTTGTCCTATCAGTTGCTGCTTGGGAGGAGACTGGTACCTATCTCACTACAACCTTTTCCCCAAGCCCGTAGTGCTGCATGGGGTTATTGTGAGCCAGGTACAGGACTTGGCACTGAGCCTTGTTGAACCTCATACAGCTGGCCTTGGCCCATTGATCCAGTCTGTCCAGATCACTCTGTAGAGCCTTCCTACCCTCAAGCAGATCAAAACTCCCATCCATACCTAAATTACGGTGGGATATTTTTTTAAACATCAATTGTATACCTCTAGATTGAAGGAGATCAACTTCTTTCAGTGTACAGTCAACATTTATCTGGAGCTGTCTGTTGAGGCTTCTCAATCTGGTCATTTCCTCAGGCTAGAAAGAAACAACCCAAAATGGTAGTTGTGGGAAAGTTAGCATATTATCTGACATAGAAATAACATTGTTATATATGCAACAGCTTTATTAGAAACTGAATATGGATAAGGCACAGAAAAGACAGCCAAGAGTCTGCTATCTGTCCCATTCCCCCTACCCCATTTATTCCCTCAAAAAACATTCTTCTGTTGACATTTGAGGAGGAAAACAAATCAAACCAACAAAAATTAACAAGTTAGTTAATATTAAAATTCATGAGTAAGAAGACACAGCTAGGCTCAAGTTTATAAAACCATGCACCTTACAAAATTCTGTATAAATTGAGGAGTTGCTACATGAGCTTACATTGAGATGATTAGGAAACAGCATACGAGCTGCAGCTCACATTAATTATTATTTGATTATAAACGAGTAAGGTCAGAGGTTGGTTTATACGCATCACCCCAAGGAGCTCCAAGATGCCAAACCTAACCCAGTATATTTAAATAGTTCAGTGCTGCAAGGCAGTAATTATTCTTAATAGAATAATCAGTTACTTAAATCCATATATTTGCATACCATTAAGAAACTCTAAGTTACTGCAATACAAAGTGTTCTTAATGCTAGCAGCAGTGATTAATAATACATAAGCAGGAATAACTATCTTTTCCTAGGATATTTTCTAGCATCAGTCAGTCACAGGATCACAGAGAGTTCAAGGTTGGAAGGGACCTCTGGAGGTCACCTGGCCCAACCCCTCTGCCCAGATGGCAGATGGCTTTTGAGTATCGCCAGAGATGGAAGACTTCACACTTCCTGAGGCAACCTGTGCCAGTGCTCAGTCAACCACATACTAAAGAAGGGGTTCCTGATGTTCAGAAGGACCCTCCTATATTTCAGTTTGTGCCCATTGTCTCCTGTGTTTCAGTGTGTGCCTGTTCCCAGTGGGCACCAGTGGAAAAAGCCTGTCTCTCTTCTCTCTGCACCCTCTCTTCAGGTATTTCTATACACTGTGAAGAACCCCTTAAGCCTTCTCTTCCCCAGGCTGAACAGACCTAGCTCTCTCAGCATGTCCTCACAGGAGAGATGCTGTCATCGTGTAAGCCCAGCCAGTAACTCAGAACCACGCAGCTGCTTGCTCACTCCCCACCCAGCACTGCACCAGCTACTAAGAAGCAGAAAAATGACTGCTACAGCTGAATCCAGGATAGACACTTTATCATTTTTGTGACTTCACTGGACTCTCCAGTATGACCTCCCTCTTGTACTGGGGAGCCCACTCTTGGACACCATACTCCAAGTGTGGTATCACCAGTGCTTGAATAAAGGGGAAGGGCAACATCTCCCCCACTGTTGGCAACACTCCTAATGCAACCCAGGGTACCATTAGCCTTTGCCACATTGCTTACTCCAACTTATACTGGTGCATAGGGTTGTCACCAAGTCAGGACTTACTACTTCCCCTTGCTGAATGGCATTAGGTTCCTGACACTCTATTTCTTCAGCTTGTTGAGGTCCCTCTGAATGGCAGCACAACTCTCTCAGTTTTGTGTCATCAGCAGACTTGCTGAGGTTACACTCTGACCCATCACCCAGATCATTAAGAAAGATGTTAAACAGGATTAGACCCCGTATTGACCCTGCAGTATACTGCTAGCACTGGCCTCCAAAAAGACTTTGTGCCACTGATTACCATATTCTTGGCCTGGCTGTTCAGCCCATTATCAATCCACCTTACTGTTCACCCAGCCCATATTCATCAGCTTCTCTATGAGGGTCTTAAAGGAGATGATGTTGAAAGCCTTACGGGAAGTCTAGGTAGACAACAACGACTGCTCTCCCCTTATCTACCACAACAGTATTTTCATCCTAGAAGTTTATCCAGCTCTCAAGTTTGACTTCCCCTTGGTGAATTCCATGCTGACTACTGCTTATTTTTCATGTGCCTGGAAAAGGTCTCCAGGATTAGCTGCTCCATCACCTTCCCAGGGATCAAGGTGAGGATGAGCAGCCTGTAGTTCCCTGGGTCCTCATTCTTGTAGACAGAAGAGGTATTTGCTCTCCTCTAGTCTTTGGGCACTTCTCCCAGATATCATTGTCAATCAAAAGATTATCTAGAGTGGCCTTGGAATGACATCTGCCAGCTTCCTCAGCATTCATGGGTACATGTCATCTAGAACCATGAACCCACGTGTATCTGCTTTGCCTAAGTATTCCCTGACCTAATCCTCTTCCACCAAGGGCATACCTTCCTTGCTTTGGACTTTTCCTAGGGTCTCTTGGACTAAGGATTCTTGAAAGCCTGTAAAGACTGTAGTAAAGAAGACACTCAGTCTCAGCCTTTTCCATGTCCTACGTAACCAGGCTCCCTGTATCATTAAGCAATGGGCCTACATTTTTGCTAGCCTTCCTTTTGTCGCCTATGTACTAACGGGCCTTCTTTTTGTCTTTGATATCCTGTACCAGATTCAACTCCAGTTGGGCTTTGGCTTTCCTAACCTCATCCATGCACACTCAAGACAGTACCTCTGTATTTCTCCCTGGAACGTATCTGCCAAAAGCTGCCCTGAAACAGGGGAGACATACATCAGCTGTACTAGTTAAGCAGCTAAAAGTTCCTACTATGCCTTCCAGCCTACAACTGTGTGCACCATTCATGTCAACACAGAGAGTAAGTCTGAACTGACTTGGCTAACAACTGCTCAAACTGGAAGGTATTTTTCAGTTAAATGAATTCTCTTATCAGAGCCATACAGATGTTTGGGCTACAGTCATTTGCAGGTGGGAAGTCACACAGATTGAAAATACCAACATGGAAAAGAGGAGAGAGAGGTGCCAACTATTTGAGCCAACACTGCCACTTGGGCATAAAGACACCTGGCATATTCTGCACATACCTAACAGGAAATAGATTGTATGAGATACAACTCCTCAAACAATAAAATGCTTCAATACAATAAAATGACTCCAAAAAAGTGAAACCTTGCTGCATGACCACCAAGCTGTATATGGTGTGGGCTCTTTAAATAGACTTGGACACATACTTGTATAGGTTGTTAGGAAAGTAACTATCTAATCAGTTCTGTGGCCCAGAAAAGCACATCTATACAAGTTTAACAAACCGTTGTGAACACTGAGAAAGCTGGACACGTATCTGTTTCTAAATTATAAGAACTGGGTTACAACAAGCCAGGAAGTTACAAAAAAGTCACCTCCAAAGAGCAAAGATTTTATACCCCCAGAATGTTGGATTTTTTTGTATAATACTGCAATTAATGAAAATGTAAAAAATAAATTTGAATCTTGAATTAAAATACTAACAAATTGCTTACTGTTGGAATTGCAGTTGTACAGCTAACTCTTCGAAGCCGCCTCTGCATAAGATCATGCTCCATACCATTGACTTCAGCTTTCAGGCGTTCTAGTTCTTCTTTCTCAAGCTTCAGTTCCTTTGCTAATCTCTCCATCCTTGCTCTCTGATGTAACAGCAAGGCTAATGTTGTACATGGAAAAAACAGTTACTAACACACAAAACCCCAGAAAACTGAATTCTCAACTTACGCATAAGATTCATGAGTGACTCTTCTGGAAAAAAAAAGTGATCGTAAACATGCAGCCAAGTATCAGTGTAATGAACTACAATTTAGAACAAAGTTGTTCGAGAACAAAACCACATTTTATACAGTAACTTGAAGTTGATATTACCATTTTGGTCATAGCTTCTTTTTTTGCATTTGGTCTTTCTTGTCTCAAAAATACAAAGGCACCTGTACAAGGAGACAGCTTTTCCAGATGCAACAGCAACCTAGTTACATTAATACTGTACTGGCAAAGAAAACAAAATAAATACCAGAGGTAAGATCAGAAGGTAACACACTTCATATCTGCTGCTTGATAGCAGCTGACACACTAGCCTTGAGACATTAGCCAAATGTCAGTCCTGAACTGTGTTTTTCACTGGTATTACAGATTATGCTGTAACAACTTTAAGTAGTCTTAGATTTTCAGAGTACTGTAATTCTCAATACTCTTAAGTTTCCTAGTGCTCAAAGGCAAATCTATACAACTTCAATAAAACAGACAGAGAATCCAGAAAATAAAAAGCAGGGGCAGCTCAGGTGCTTCAGGGTCTTTAATTCTACATGAGAGGTGATTCACTGTCCTCTAACCTCTCTCTGCTGGTAATCATTTTCTGATATTTTTGGTTTGGTACTGAAATTTATGACTCTCAGTCACAAGCTGATGTTAAGCTCCCAGAGAAGCCAAAGAACAAACTCCGACTAGCTAGAAAATAATACTCAGTTTCTGCAGGAAGAGCATTTCTCAGTATTTCATCATGATGCTAAAACTGGACAAGACAATTAGCGTGATGCTTAGCACTTTCTGATCTGGCTGGTTTACATGATTAAAGTCTAGCAGGACAAAGAAAAGCAAAAGAAATTTGCCGTGGGTATTCGAACAAGCACTGGCCCGTACCTGCCCTTTTCTTCACCCCTATCCAACACAAGCAGAGAAAAACCACGACATATCTCAGGTATATTTGCATACTAGTTAAAAAAAGAAAAAAGTTAGAAAACCAAGCAACGATATGACACAGTTCACTGGGGAGCAGAAAACCATCCCCAAACAACCAAACCAAACACAAAATCAAAAATAAACAAACAAACAAAAATCTCCCCAAATCTCCCTAAAGCCAAACAGTCAGGAGCATAAAAATGAGTGTGTTTTTTCAGTATTCTGAGCAAAAATGTAGCACTACAGTTAAGATTTTATAAGAATCCACCAATTCACACTGAAAATCCTATCCAAGAATAACATCAGATATTTTTATATTATAGGCACCACTATTACTGAATAAAATTGTTCTCCACTTTTTGAAGTAGTGTAGGTCAAAATAGCCTGAGATCAAAAAATTAAAAACAAAAAGAAACCCCCAAATGTATTGATGCCAGGCTGTATGATTCTGCACTATTGCTATCAAACCTTGTCTTCGTGTGACTCTTCCAACTTAGCATCCAGTATGACTACATTGCATAGCTTTGCTTTATACTCTAGGAAACAATGGAAGTGCTGACATCAGAATGGATTTTGGTAACAAATTTCACAACGGTTCACATTCAAAAGAAAAGTAAACAAACTTGTTTTCTATATTAAGCTGTTAAATATATTCTTCTTTAGAAGTCCTTTGTTGCAGTAAAGAATATAACATTCTTCTACAATTCATTTCTATCAGGAGTTCAGAGTGCAGCAATACCAAAGGCTCTATGAAGTCCCAGCTGTGGTAGGTATTGCCACAAAAGCAGATGCCCCCCAAAAAGCATATACTAACTAGTTTTATTGCGTTTATTTTCCCAACACACAAATCCCATCAAAGATGCTAAGGCAAAACCAGATTTCTAAATTTCAGAATATGTTTTTCTCAGTTAAACGAAGCTACTTAACAGTTTTCTCATGTAACCTACAATCTTTAATGAAGCTGTAATAGGAACATCATCAAACAAAACAAGGCCTATGAGTTACACATCTACTAGCATTCATTCTTTCTAAATAACATTTTACATTGGGTCTACCAGGTACAGAACAGTTCTTTGTTGATGAGTCAGAATAGCTCAGAAGACACAAAGCAAAATAAGAAATCAAGAACTACAGGGCAGCATTATAACCACTATATCAGCTCTCTAAAGTGAAAGGAAGGCTAGAAGGAACAATGAAGGAATAGACTCTCTTTTCCAAACACAAATCAAGAAACAAAGCACATTCTTTCAGTAACTGCTACTGATTATCATTCTGTCATTACTCCAAATGACTGGTTTGCTTGCAGACTGATTCCTTTGCTCAATTTTAAATGTTCAAATCTATAAAGCAGATTATTCTGAGAAAAACAGCTTTCAGGTAAAGGTTACATTTAACCTTTTTTTTTTTTTTACTAAATTACTTTATTCTTCATTTATGTCGCATCAAATCTAACCACGTTCTATCCCTATGCAACAGAACACGTCCTAAAACTTGTCTGCCAATCACTTCCTCCTGTTTGCAAATTTTAAGTGTAAGAAGTGAACTTTTGATTAAGTTCTTAAAAATAATTAATACCTTTCAAAGCAAAAATATTTTTATTGACACCAGAAGTAACTTTAGCTGCAATCCTACCTCACTCTCCTCTTTCATTTAGTGCTCTTCAATCTAAGCCAAATAAATTGAATTCAAATTCCCTGCAGAAGTTGGTGCTTCAGGTTTTATAAAGCACCCTAATACAGAACAAATAATAAAAATTGATGACAGTTCAGAATTTACAAACTGTACACACAGTATATGAGCAAACCACTCACCCTGTTAGTGGTAGTGTTTTCTTTTAAGAAATTCACCCAACATCAAAAGCATAACAACTTTAGGAACCTCAGAAATTCTTTATGTATTAGACTGAAACTTGGCAAATTTAAAAAAAAAACATCAAGCCAAACTCAGTAATGGATTTTTGGTGTAATTTCTATTTTTCTCTGAACAAGTTCAAAAATCCTCACTTAGAAAGTAGCAAAATCAAGCCGAAAATAATTTTTCATTAATGCAGTTTGTGGGGTGAAACATTTACCTTGAGTGTAAGCATAGTCGTCTGATCCAGAACTAGAACTTCTCTGATACTTATGGCTTCCTTTTTCTCCTCCGGATCCTGGGATTACAGAAATAGGCTGAATAGGTTCTGGTGCTGCAGAACGCTCTTCTTGGTCCACTAAATTTAAAAGATTCTCAGTCGGTGCTCGACCTACTGTGATTTTAAAAATGGTTGGGTTTGGCTGAGACACCATTACCCGAGGAGACTGTGTTGGTGCACCTGTAGGTCCAGTTGGTTGAGTGTAGGTAATATATACTGGATTAACACTAAATGGAGGTTTGGGTTGACCCGACATACCTCTTGATGGAGAGCTTGAAGGAGGAGTAGTGGCTGTATACAGCGGGTGCTGGTTTCGTTGAGATGGTTGATTACTTATTGGTGAAGGACTTCTGTTCATTGCAGTCCCAGGTCTTTGTGGTGGTTCAACTGTAATTTCTATTTTATTCATGGAACCTTTGGATAAACTCGGTCCAGCAAAAGTAGGGAGATATGATACAGAGTGACCACCTTGTTTTTGAAAAGTCTGGGATGCTTGCTGATATGGATGGGGTGGGACAGTTGAAGGACTAGGAGGCATGAAAACATGTGAACTCTGATGACTCAACTGAGGAGGCTGAACTTGGTGCTGAGGAGAGCCAAAGGGAGAAGGACACTGGGATGTCGGTGGTGATCGAAAAGCTGACTGAGGGATCTGGGGTTGTTTAGGAGAATACTGAGAAGGTTGGTAGTTCTGTTGATGTGGATACACAGGTAGAGGACGGGGAGAATAATGTGGAACTGGGCCCTGCGGTGATGAATGCCACTGTGTATTCTGAGGAGTCTGTCGTCCTGAAGAACTTTGAGATGTTTGTCGTATATAAATAGAGCCAGGAGTCCCATAAAGATTGCTTGGAATCTGTGGAAGAATTTGTAGAGCTCTGGGTACACTCTGTCCAGAGGGGAGGTTTTGTGATACTGTAACAGTAATGGGATTTGTACTGTACCGAGGTATGTGCATATACGTGGGAGGAGGGCCTTGCATAGCAGACGTGTTCATTCCTGGTTGTATGGAAGATGGCTGTGGAGGTGGCTGTGGAGGAGGAGTAGCTGCATTTCTATTCTGGTCATTCATGAAAAATGGATTGTAACTAGGAGAAGCTGCCACAACAGCGGGAGCAGAATGTGGTTCCTGGACTAAGCATATCAGCTGTTTACCTGCTGTGCGTTGTGGATCAATATGTCCATCACTTGAACTATGTACCAGTGTACGACCACCATTAAGTTGAGCTCCATCCCCTGCATGATAGCTAGTATGAGGATGAATACCCAGATTAATGTGCAAAAGGCTATTTCTATTCATTCTGGTGTCATCAGGGCTATGGTACTCCATATATAAGTATTTGTTGCTCTCCTGTGCGAGGGCTCGACAACAGGCATCTAGGTTGTTGTTGTTCTAGAAGTAAGAATGGACACCTGTTATTGCCAAATAGCAAAAGAAAACACCACTGTTCAGCGTTCAACAAGCATTCAACTGAAGCTGCAATCAAGCCTAGCTTGAACACAACTACAGATAACATCTCACAGACACGAATTTTGAAATAAAGATAATAACTATAAAGTCACAGTATGTAAGTAGTACACAGCTCACATGGCATGCAGCAAAATGTTATGGTTACACTAGCTACAGTATGACATACTAAGAAAATCAAGTCCAGATTTGGGGAAAGCAACAGTTAGAAGTCTCAGCATCTTCTGCAAGGAACAGATATCTACACTTAACTACTCATAATAGCAGGAACACGGATCAAATTGAACTAGATCAAAATTGCAAACTCTGTAAAGTTGAACCCAAAATGTAGAAGACATTTTAATGGGTACCTGAGCATTTACTGCTCTCATCTTTTTTTTCTGTTTACCTGAGTATTTCTCTTTACCTGAAAGTTTAAAAGCCCAGCATTTTCTTGGTACAAGAGAAAAAAAAAACAAAAAAAAAAAACCAAACAGTTTTGCTTTGTACATTAGAATTTAGTGCCTTAAAAATAAAGTCAGAATAAGTACTGCTTGAAAAAGTATGGTAATTCCATAAAGCACCTTACAATTCTGACATAATTTCAACTGCCTTTAAGAATTTCAGGATCAAGGTTTAAAAATAAAAAAAAAAAATAAAAAATGAGGAAAGCAAATAACCCCTGAAAATGTTTCATGTCTTCTGCAGTGCCAGCAGCTGAAACTATACAGACGCATTATGAAGCAAATCAAAAGTATAACGGGGAATTCCCTTTCCCTTAATCTTTCCCTTCTAGTCTTGTTCGAAGAATGACACAAGTGATAGCTTTTCCTTAAGAGTGCGATCACTAGAAAGCATTCCAGATTGTGTATTTTTTTTTCTCCCCAGTTTCTCATGCAACAGTCTGTATCAGCTGTGGTTCAGTTTTTAATTTAAATAGTAGTTAAATTTAAAAAAATAAAATCACTTTAAGTTCAACTACATCTGGCCCTCAGGACGCTAACTTTGTCACATATGATCCAAGACTGATACCTTCTGTGACATACAGCACCTCCTACCAGAACAAGTGAGCGTGTACCTATTTATATATAGACACATACACCCTCGCCTTCCTTAGTGTGCTAAGATTACCATCCTAAGGAATATATACCACTAGTGGTTTCACTTCTGTTTTAAACACTATCACTACGTACTGTTTGTATACACATTAATACTCACGTGACCTTGTAACACAATTTTCAACAGCCTATCCACTGGTTGAAAAGTCCTATCAGTCCTTTTCTAAAGGACTCGTACCTAGTCAGTCTTAATGCTAAAGCAAAGATGACTTTCCCAGAATTCCATATGATTTCACTATCAGACAAACATACATATCTTAGATGAAGACTTACTACTAAACATGACAGAAGAGTCCAGCACTTAATTAAGTATGCCTAACTCTATGGATACTTCTCCCTGACTACCCTCCCTCCATGCCAAGCTCTCCTTCTAGACCCCAATGGTCAATGGGAATATCCAGACATACCACAGAAAAATTTAAAACCAGAACATGTGGGAATCAGGCCCTGTAATAATAACCAGCACCACAGTTCCAAGACAGCAGTCTCAAAAATCTAAACACTATCATCAGCCAGTTGACATCTACACTGAACTTCATAGTCCTCAGCTTCCTAGAGTCACTTCATCAGGGTGGAGGTAGAAAGAATGTAGAAGGGACAGAACCAAACATGATTTTCTCAGAGTATGGAATATATCTGCCATTTTGAAGGACCCTCCATTTTTGATAGGTCCAAAACACACACTGGTTTAAATCTAGAGTATGTATTGCAAAAGGTTAATGGAAACCAGCTCATGTATCTTAAAACAAATATAAAGTGGGTTTGGAAAAAAAATGACAGATATTTGCAATGTAACATTAACCAGCTACGCAGAACTGTTTTATATACATGATAAATATATATTATATTA